AAGCCGTGGAGTTTTAAGGACAAAAAATCTTCGTACACTTTCCTTCGGAGGGAAAGCAAAACCTGTTCCATGTTAGTACATTTACTGCGTGTAAAAGATCCTCAAGCTTAAATGAGTTAAGCTTCTGAGCTAAATTCAAATCGCCTGTTTCTCGCCCAAGAAATACCTCCTTTCTCTGATAGTGGGTGAAAGGAGCGTAGCGAAATTTGCGTGGTCAGACGGAAGAGCGCCCTTGATGGCCCGAGTCGCGGCACGTAAAATAAGGCATCAATTCAATTCAATTCTGTGTGGGTGTTTGGGAGACGGTCTCGAGTTGGTGAGTTGGTCTCGTAAAAAGACGCTACAAAAGCGTGCGGTTCTGTAAGTCGAACAACTGAGACCATTCACACAGTAATTATTATGTTTAAACTGTGAAAAGAATGAGCTATTTTTCCAATTTTAATATTGTTATTAATTTTGATTTTTCTCACAGTATCCACAAAATTAAAATACCGGTTTCAAATTGGATTTTGGAGAAAATGAGCTGCGCGCCGCTGGCGCCTGGCGGATGGGCAGGCAGAGCGTGCGTCGTTCGGTTTTAGGGGTCAAGGGCTCACAAAAGCTGCATTCTGGCTTCACCACCTCAAAGAGGATTTTTCCTTCTACATTTAGCAACTGGATTTATCCACTTTTTCGTTACCAGGGCCCGGGAATATGGGATTTTCTGCCGGAAATTTGCCGTATTTTCGCGCGACATTATATAACTTTCTGTTGCATAGCGAGAAAGTAGAAATGAGATTCCTCATGGCGAGCACGACGGGTTTCAAACTGCTGCTTGATGCCGTAGTGAATGGGTCGTCCGAATGAGATTGACCTTGCAGGAGAGCAGAGTGCTGCGCTGCACTAACCCTCGCGCCTGCCGAAATGATGGCCATGTCCTCTCCTCGCCCGAGCAGGCTGCCGGCGCCCGTGATGCATGGCCCAAACGCCCGCTCCTCAGGCGCTGAGGCTGCCACATAAATTACGAATTACGAGTAATGAGAGCCGCCGCAGTTTGTGTTGGTCGGAAGACAGTGAGGCGGCGCGGTGAAGCGGTGGCGGGGCCCTGGCAGCTTGATGTGGCCTCCTGACGTCACGACTCAGGCGGAACGCGAGTCCGCGCGGATTGCGCTTCTTAGTTTTATTACTCACCCTTCACTCCCCGTCGTGGCAGCAGAGGCTACAAATTTGGGTAATATTTGCATGTTTCAGGTTTTAACCAACAGAAGAACATTGAGTTAAGCACAAAATACGGTTAATTTTCTTTCACAGCAATTTCCATTGGTAAAGTCTTGGCGTGATAACATCACTTTTATAAAATACCAGGCATAGAAGGAATTGAAAGCAACAAAACATTGTGAACAATTAATTTTTGCTCACTGATTGTTTATTAGGAAGTACCACAAACGTGTTTAATGAAAATGTGATGAGTATGTTGGAACACTTAATACAGTATCACAGTTTTTAAAACGAATTGGAGTGCATTCCACAACTTTTCGTCCACTTACTGTTTGTACTCAACAATTAGTCTTAATTTTTTAAAGGTGTATGACATTATTTCAAGTCTACACTGGAATGAACTTATTCAAAAACAACAACAAACATTCAAGCCAGAAGAATAAATTTGGTTAAAAGTGGTTTGGGAATTTGGGACATATCTCAAACTTTCGAGTATTGAATTAGATATATATGGAATGAGCTTGTAGAATTGTTTGAAAAACTCTACATATTCACCACATGGAAAATAGAAAACTCTCCAAACATTGTTGTATGTCGTGCAGTAGAAAGTCCAGAAAATGTTGAAATCTTCAGGGGCCTTCACGTGAAGACCTCCCTAAAATTAAAACATCTTAATGATGCGGAAAGTGCAATTAGATTTTGCTTCCGACTTATGTACCAAGGGTCTTCTAATAGACCAAGAAAAGCTTCTAATATGACAGCCATGTTCAGAGGCTTAGCTGCGATCCGAGAGCCCCAGCGCAAAGAGGGATGCGACATAACTTTCTATAGAAATGTTTTAAACATGGACGGATTAAAGGTTTGTTTTTGAAACATCTATGTTTTGTTGTCGATGTTTTGGTCGAAGAAAGAACAATAATCACAATTTTGTAAAAGTTAGAATATTAATAACTGAAGCTACCTCTATGTACGAAACGCAGGCCCATGTGATTGCACTACCTTCATCGATCAGACTCCCTGGTTTGAGATGATCCTGACACCCTGGTATTTCCTTTGTCTTTCGTCGTATTTCACACTTTGTTTTCAGTTAGATTTTAATTATAAATTAGTTTACACTGTCCCTGTGAAATTAAATTTTGTTGCGCCCGAATTTAATGTTAGAGGATACAAAACCAGCTTTAAACGTCGATGTTTAAAAGCATCGATGGATTTTGATCGATGTATTATTAACATCGAGGATTTAATTTTGGACTTCTATGTTTGGCAACATCAATGATTTGTTGCCCTTTGGCTTCGGAGACACGGCACCGCGCCCCAGGTTTTGCATGTCACAGCCATCTTCCCCCGATCACCAGGCGAATGCCGGAGCAATACCATAAGAAACGGGACACGGGCCGCGCGCGATCTTTCTTTCCCCTTCCTTGTGTCCTCACCCCTTACACTTACAAAAACATGCACTACGCTGCCCCGCATGCGGGAGACCGGTCGGGCGCTTAGAGAGTGCCTCTAATGGGCGATGCTCCGCTCGTGGGAGATACCTGGTTGGGAAAACTCCAGTAGCCGATGATAGGTCGGCGCCGAATCTCTCCATTCAGCGGGGGCGAGATCACCGCCACCTCCCGAGGAAAAACGTGCTCTATACGTCTGTAACAAATGACCTAAGTAGTTGACGCGCCCGGAATCACTACCTTTGGAATAGCACTAATACACATTATTAATCCTGACGTGTGGGCGAATTTACCGCTGGAAAAAACCTTTGACACGGATTTTACTACCAATATTCGAGATCATGTTGTTGAGGTGGCTCCAATACTTTAAAATACAATATACTTAAAAAGTATGCATATTGAATCCACATAACAAGAGCAAACCCATGTCAGAGAAAAATAAGTAAATATTGAATAGAAAATTTTGTTGCGGGGAAATTTAGAAAAACTGTCTCAATTTCCAAAAAATATATAATACTTTTCTAAGATTATTAGAGGTTATTGTAGAGGTAATGAGAGAGATACTCTCTCGAGGGGCTCGTTGGTTAATGTGCTCGCTTTCCACGGTGCAACCGCGGGTTCGATTCCCAGCCATGACAAAATAATAACTGCGCCCCTTCCTTACAAATGTCCCTGTATCTATGGCTGTGTGCCGATGAGAAAGCCCACCCTAAGACCGGTGTATACGGTAAAGAGATGTCTCCATGCTAACCACACGAACCCCTTATCCCGTGGCCGTAGGGCAGGAAACGCAATAAGAGAGATGTGGAAATCTGAGGGTACGTGTCAGGAGCTACTTTGGTGTGCCTTGCCCAGCCTCCTGTACGTCGGAAACAACTTGCTAACCAACTTTCTTCTTTCCGGTGGTACAACCGTTTTGTTGTAATTACACCAGTTCACTCAATGTGTTCAGGATAGGTTGTTCGACTTTCCTTTTTCGTTGTCTCTGAATCGGAGGGGAATTGCCAAATGATCCTATAGAAATTAGAAAATCACTGTAGATCACAGAATTGTGTTGATATGGGTTCTGAAACCATTCTAATAAAAGTAAAAGTCTTCATTGCAAGAGGTTTTATGTTATTTAATGGCAAGTGCTTTTGACTTCTTAATCATTAGCGGTAATGTTGCCGATGATTGTATTCTAACAATGAGGATTTCTAAGCCGATTACAGCTTGGCAGTGATATTGTTGACTACAAATTTTGGGAGCGAGAGAATAGTACTTTACGTCACAAAAGCGCGAAGCAGGTAATTCCCGCACTCGCCTCTTCGTCGCCTCGCTTCGCCCGGATGTCCACTTCGCCTCGTGCGTAATCACCGAGCGCACGCTGTTTTTAACGCGCCGTGAGCGAAAAGCAAAGAAATATAAATTAAATGTCAAAAACTAGAAATACCTACCTTGTGCGAAAGTAATGATTCCAGTAAGGGTCGTAACAGTAGTGGTTGTAAATAACAAACAAAGATGTCAAGACGAAAGACAATTGCTCATCGCTACAGATGTTTCCCGCATGGAAAGCAAGGGCGAGAATTCGCGTTTCGTGCATGGCAAGTTAAAAACACTATTTTGGTTACGTGTTCATCTTCTAATCTTGCGCGGTCGCTCTCCAGCTTGTGAAATGTGCTATCTCTCTGTTCGTGATAAGAAATCATGAACCGTATAAGACTATTATTCGAACTGTGAACTGTGAAACAAAGTAGATCAATTTGCTTTGCCTTCTGTCGAACTGGCAGCTTTACATAATCTTTCTCATGCAGTCAACTCAACATTTGTTCACGACATTACACGAAATCTCGCGGGAAATTATTATAATTCGCCCCTTATCTGCGGTAAAAGTAAACGTGTGTGGAATACGAGAATACGCACGTGAATATCGATTTTTTAATAAAATCGTTGAGGATATTTACAATTAATCACTTCGAGCTACAGTCGCTATGAGCTATCGACGTGATATTACGTGAACCAACTATTATTGTTTTACATTTGAGTAAATGCTACTTCTTTTAATTCATATTTGTACTCGTTGACGTATAATAAACGTCACTGTCAAAAACGTCGGTGTCAAACACAGGAATGAAAGGAATTTTAAAATGAGTTACGTTAAATGGATAATGGAAAGCATGAGAATTGAGAAACTTGAAATTTAACAAATTACAACAACGTTGAGGGCACACTACCAACCTCTTAAAAACTGACGGCCTGAACTGCCGAACTGAATGGAATGGCTATCATCTTACTACAAAGTACACATCATCTTATTCTTTAGTATATAAAGTAGCGAGTCATTTAATTGTATCTAATGATTTCATTATGTTTCAGAGGTTAAACAAGAACTGGAAGACTTAATGGCAGATATTAAAAAAATATCCTTCAAAGTCCGAACAAAATTGAAAGGTAAGTTGCAATAGACTCCTGTGTACTGTTGCGCGGGTGCAAAGATCGTTTTACTTGAAACCTCAAATGCACTCGACTAATCAAATCCATTTGCACGAACTGCGGTTGGGTGAAAACAGGGTGAAGACTCGACCAAAGCCTCGCACCGCGCCAACCAGTCAGGAGCCGAATGTCGCGCTAGTTAGCTTTGCTGCCCTTTGAGGCTTCGGGCGAGGCTCGTAAATCGAGGCTTCACCGTGTTTTTGCCGCGAGTGCATCCCGGAGGGGACATCATACGGCGTCTCTGCCACAGCCATCGAGACCAGCATCGAGCAAGACGAGCCCTCGGCCCGATCGGCGGCCGACCTGCGGATACGCAAGACGCAGCACTCCACTCTGTCGCGCAAGTTCGTCGAAGTGATGACGGAGTACAACCGCACGCAAACGGACTACCGCGAGCGGTGTAAGGCGCGGATACAGCGCCAACAGGAAATCAGTAAGTATCAGCGAAGTTACTGTCCCCTAGATTATTCAAAGATTTCAATGATCTATATCTCTCTGTCTCTCTCTCTCTCTCTGTCTCTCTCTGTCTCTCTCTGTCTCTCTCTGTATTTCTCTCTGTCTTTCTCTCTGTCTTTCTCTCTGTATCTCTCTGTCTTTCTCTCTGTCTCTTTCTCTGCCTCTCTCTCTGCCTCTCTCTCTGCCTCTCTCTCTCTGCCTCTCTCTCTCTGTCTCTCTGTTCTCTCTCTCTGTCTGTCTCTCTCTGTCTCTCTTCCTCTGTCTCTCTCTCTCTCCTCTCTCTCTCTCTCTGTCTCATTCTCTGTCTCGCACACATATAGATCCATCGTCCTAAAGGCCAAAACTGTGTTGTCGCTTAGCGTCATGACATTCTGTCCTCCGCTGTCTTTTCATATCTGCTTAGTTTTTGAATTGAGTTTGAAGTTTCGAAATTTAATTTTATTTTAGTATATATACATATTATATATATATACTATATATATATATATATATATATATATATATATATATACAATATAAATTAATATAGGAGTTCCGAAAGAACAGAAATAATAGCACCAATTTATACAAGTCGACTGCTCTTTTATTTCTGCCTTAATTTTTCCTTTCTGAACTAATTTATTCATTTATTTCGTAAATAATAAACAATTTACATGATTTTGGATTGTTTTTACTCTTCTTCAATACAAATTTTGTCTAGAAAGCATTTCTTCAAACCAACTTTTGAGTGATTATAGAGGCTTAACCATTCGGAATATCCAAGAATTAGACAAAACATGCTTAAAAGTGTCTTAGGAGTTAATGTTCGAAGTTTCGGCGTTTTCCCTCCATGGACACTCGGAATAGTGGCTTAACTCCATATATAAAAAAATTGAGATATTAATTCGGGAATTGCATTTTGGTCTACCTTCCAGCAACAACACCAACATTTCTTACAGAATAGTATTCTACCAACAAGTGGCAGAAGTGTAAATGCCAGTATGATGCATTTCAATACAAGGTAAAAACTTCTAACTCATTTATCTCTACACCTTACTTTTTGAGTTGTGCCACTATTGCAGGCTACGACCAGTATATGTATGTACAATGTACATGTACATAATTATATGCAGATGCTTCCACGTGGCCGGAGGCCGCATAGTTTCCATTGAATTTCTACGCTCATTGAATAAGAGTAAAAGTTATTTGTGCACTAAGGGCGTTACACGAGGGATAGAGCGGCAACAAAATGCCGGATGGCCTTGGCCCAAGGGTCTTCGTCGCCCGGGATCATTAGAACCAGTTAACGTCCGTGGTTCACGAATTTTATTTTTTACCTAATTTTATTAATTCAAATTAACTTATTTATAATTAAGTAGATGTTAACTTGACTCCATTTGCCTTATTTCTCTCCCATTCCCCTTTCCTAAAGAGAACATTAGCATCATTCAACTGTTTTCATATTTCCCTCGTAGCCACAATCCTATAGAAGCGGGTAAGTTATGCAGTGTATATGGAAGGCAATAGCAAGCTATAATGTATGAGTAAAAAATAAACTAGATATTGATGAACTATTGTAGGTCTTCTAGCCAGGATGTGCGCTGTCCAGAGGCTGCTCTGTCCTGCAGAGGCTCTAGCGCCGTCCGGCGACCTTCGTTACACCTGAAGAGGGCCACGGCGCCGCCGCCCCAAACACATCGTCCTCCGCAACGCTGATCATAAAGGAGCCACTCGGCACATCCGATGCGAAAAGATGTTCGTTCTGCTATTCGCTATGCTTTAATGCCAATTTTCGTCCATCAATTGTCACTTACAAATTATATACCGGAAAAACAAAACAGATCTACATTTGAATCACACTCACATTAACACCTGCATTTAGTACATCAAAAAAGCATACTTGAATTTTTCATCCATATATGAATTTTCCAATATTTTTATAAATATTGAAAACTCCCATTCTTCACAAAAGTAAACACAAAAATAATACATAAAACCGGAATCTAATCTTACTTCGTTGAAAAAAAAGGTTGGCAGGTCACAGTTCACAAAAAAACTGCTGTAGCAACAGCAGTGGCGAAGACAATAAAATAACAAAAGAAAAAAATTAAAAAAGACAGCATAAAAAATCGTGGGCCTAATTTTCACACACACTCGTACGTGTAACTACACTTTGAAGTAAATAGTGCGAGAAGTGCACACGATCACACCCAGAAATTGCATCAACTGATGTTACTGCAGCGCCTCTGAGCGGAAGGTCCGAGATTCGAGCTCCGTCAGTGGCAGGATTTTCGTCACTAGCTACATAGGTAGATAGAATTCAGTTGCTTCCTGGAGAATTCTAGCTGCCGGCCGCTCTGATCGGGAGTTTTCCTTGGTTTCTCGGATCAATGCCAGGCGAATGCCAGAGCAGTACCCTCTCAAATAGGCCACGGACCGCGCGCGATCATTCCTTCCTCTTCCTTTTCCTAAACTCACTCTTACGCACACACTTGCATGTACTACACCACCACACATCGGCCCATCAGCGGCGATGGTGTAACGGTTAGCGTATCGGACTATTATAACTAAGTTGGCGGTTTCAAACCCGATCGAAGCCGTGGATTTTTAAGAGCGAAAGGACGAAAAAATCCTTCGTATGCCTTCCTTCGAAGGGGAAGTAAAGCCGGCTGTCCCATGTTAGTAAATTTACATGAAATTCAAGCCTAAATGACGCCTCTGGGGTAAATTCAAATCGCCTGGTTCCTCGCCCAAGAAATACCACCCTTCTTCGCTAGAAGGCAACAATTCAAATACACATGTCGGAAGATCGGTAGAGCGCGTAGAGCTTGCCCCGGCTGGGGCGGAGCCACTCTGGCAAGAGATACCCAATCAAGACGAAAAAAAAAAATAAAAGTTAACGTAGATAGAAATACTGAATCTATATCCAACCTCAGAGACAGAATATAAATAATATTTTAGTAGCAAAACTTTCCAAGCTTGGAAATTTGCCGCTCTCTCCGGCATTTCCAGCGAAATGGAGATAAAATGTCTCGGTTCACAACTTGATCATGCGAGCAGTAAACGATGTGAATGCAGCAGTAAACGATGTGACACGAAACAATGTGAAATGAAGTATTTTGTGAGAAAGAGGCCAGGAAAAAGACGGCGATAGGAAGAAAATCTGGTGCTTCAGAAAGGACTGTTCTTATGCGGCGTCAAATTAAAGACAAAACACAAATTCAACGCACAAAACTTTCAGGAGAATCTAAAGATGGATGACTCAGTATGGGAGGAGAATCAAAAAGAAAGAAACAATGACAAATGATGTGGATGACGATTTAGATGGTTCAGAGGCAAATATGATTTCGATGATTTTAAGGAACAAGGAAATAGTAATAGCCCAAGCAATAAGTATTTTAAGATAGCCACACTGCAATTTTATTTGGGCTTAATAGTAAGAATTAGTAAAAAGACGTTGAAAAATTCTTAGGAGACCTCTTCATATTTAGGGGGTTGTTTTATATTTGGTCAACTTATATTGAGTTAAATATGATTGTTAATAATCTTAAATACGACAGTGGGGGATTTTCAACTGTTTCCTAATATAGCAAAGTTGAATGGGTCAAATATAATTTTGACTATGTCCACTCCCTTGCAAGTTTTCCATAAATGTCAGAATTGAAATGCTCTCTTCATAAGTTATTCAAGTATTTGAAAGAGTTATTCTTGCAAAGAGAACACATTCAAGTTTTAAATTAATTTTCCCTTTCCCTAGTCAGAAGGCTATGGAAATACTGAAATATTATTTTCCTACAATAAAACAGTGGATTCTTGTGATTGTTTTGTGAGCAGGTTATTTAACTTTCAAACACAACACTCAAAGTTTTTTTGTTTTTTTTTTGGTACTACATTGAGAAAAAGTTCAAAAATTCAAATTACTATGTAAAAGTAGCAATAAAAAAATACATACCATTAGCATTATTTCTTTAAAAAAATTGGGCAAGTTCTGTCCCTAATTGTTTAATACTAATGATTATAGAGCTATTAACATTGATTTGAAAATTACATACATTGTTTAGTCATCTGACTCTTTCAACCTTGATTTTCTTTACCCGTTATTTTAAATTTATTCTTGTGTTTTGAATTGTCAAAGATTTATGTGTCCCTGAGTATTTTTTATACAATTATTAAAGAACTTTTTTGTCATTATCACTCTTATACAAAATTTTCATACAAACCTAATATAAACCTATAATAACCTTTAAATCAATAATTGAAATTATTACTTGAAAAAAAAAGGGCAAACCTTACAAATTTTTAAAGATTTCTAGAATTATTCTAGAAATTTTAAAAAATTTGTTTGGTTTGCCTCTATTTTCAAGTAATTAATATTAATGCCAACTGTCAGTATTTTCTTTTCTTGCCTTTGAATTATATAATTTAGGGGTCATCCATAAATGACTTTACGCTAAAGTGTGGGGGAGGGGGTTTTGGGCAATGTGGCATAGAAGTAAAGGGGTATTCGATTAGTGTTATTAGTAACATTGATATTCTTTTTAATTTTTTACATTTGTTGAAATACTTCCTATTTTGAGTTTTATACTAAAACATTAAAATAATTTCTAATTCATTTGTTTTAAAACAAAATTATTTTAAGTTATTGGAAATTGTTACAATAAATGGAAATACTTTTCCATCTATTTTGTATTGAATTTGTAAGATTACGGAGAAAATATTCTAAACTGATCTGTAGTATATTGTAGAATGCAATTAAATTGGCGCAGTAAACTCTCACCCATGCTCCAACCATAACTGTGTGTGCACAGGTTGTGTTCAGAAATTTTCTCACTTGTGGGTGCTTTTCTCACCCAAAATTTGCTCCTAATCTTATTGTTTAGGTGCAGTCAGCATTGACAATTAATTCTGACTTTAATAATAATAAATTTTAATACATTCAAATAAAATTAATTCAATTTTTTACTGAGCTCTAATTTATTTCCACTTCTTGCATTTTCAAGGGGAGGGGGGTGTTGTCGCAAGCTTTACGTAATTATTCAGGAGGGGTTCAATTGCATGTTCAATTTACAGCTGGGAGAGGGGTATTTAAAATACTCCAAATTTGCATTACGTAATTTATGGTTATCCCCTTAATATTGTTTATAGACCATTCAAATGATATTTGTTTGTAGTTGGTGTGCAGACCACAGATGAACAACTTGAAGAAATGCTTGACCAGGGAAATCCTGCTGTACTTACACAAGGAGTAAGTAGTTGCCCTCTGCTAATCATTCTCAAATGCTCAAAGTAAAGTTTATTTTGCTTCAACACATTTTCATATCAATTATATGCAAAGCTAAGCAATTTGTTCTAAGAGACATAAGGTATATTAGTTATGTAATGCAAAATTGTGAATTAATTCTACTACTTTTTCAGAGATTAAAGGATATTATTGGGAACATGTGTGAACTAAGAAATCAGTAATTTTTTTACAGTAGAACTTCAAGCAAATTATTTATTTTAAATTAGTTTCTTTATTGGTGTTAATTATTAAATTGTCTTCATTCTGATTTAATATTCTTTATTCAAGATGAGAAGATTAACTGTGAAAAATATTGTTGACGTAGCATTATTTTTATCCACTTTGATTGCCTTCAGTCAAACCTTTTGAAAGAGAGATTAGTGTCATAATGAAAGTTAATATAATACTAATTAATGAAAGAATTTATATGGTATATTCCTCCTTGCATTAGTATTCTAATAATTTCATGGCCCACTGTTAACAGCAAAGATCAATTTTGTAATGAAAAGAAAAGCGTTCAAGCAAGAGCTCCAATGAATCGTGGTTACCTTTTAACTACATTAAACACCAGTCTATCACATTTTGCAGGATAAACAGTCAGATTTACACAAAAATTATAGTCTTTTATAATTTTTATCAAGTGAATAAAATGGTTTCTGATGTTCATACTGTAACATACTATTACAATACTTGACTGGTTATCAGTCAGTCTAACAGCCTCATTTGATAATTATCCTATCCCAAATTGTAATAATGTCTTACAATACTTATTTTGTAAACAACTTTTATAAAATAATGATTCTTTTATGAAATAATAACAAATGTTGTGTTAATGTTTTAAGAAAATTGTTTTTCATAATTGTACTGACACTCAGAAAGATTTTAAACATTACAAAAATTGCTAATTATTGTATTTCATTATTTAATAGCAAATGAATAATAATATTAGTACCAAAGCACCGTATGGAGATTTTCAGTGAGACAGTTCAGAATATTATTATTGTGATTGATATCACATAATTATATATTAGACTTTTTATTAGTAGTGTCTTTCTTATTTGTTTATTTAAAATTAAAATATTATTAAAAATAAAATGATATAAATTGATGTATCAATATGATGATTTATAAAATAGATACTTGATTTATAAAATTTTAGGTCTCTGAATGCACCCCAGATTAATTATTAATTTAACAGGAATAGTCATAACATAATTTAATAATTATTCCAGAGGTATTGGAATGCTATTCCACCAGAAATAAAATCCTGGATGTATCCAATCCATGAATATAAATATTGAAACCGTTTATCTTATATTATAGATTGTCATGGACACACAGCAAGCCAAACAGACCCTAGCAGACATTGAAGCACGTCATGCAGATATTGTGAAGTTAGAGAACTCTATTAGGGAACTCCATGACATGTTCATGGACATGGCTGTGTTAGTTGAGAGTCAGGTACTGTAAAATCCTTGCACTTGTAAACATTCTTAATATTTTACTACATAATGTTTGTTTATTTGTAATTTGTCTTTTAATTTGGTAAAAGATGAAAATAATGAATGTGAGGATAAATTGAAATTATCATTTAATGGATTACAACAAATTGTAAAGATACGTGTACATTAAAAAATTCCAAGATATGATTTCTGTATATCTCTTTGATATCAAAGAAGCCAAAATATGAATTAACCAGCAAAAATTATATCAACTTCTTTCCTAATTTTTGAGTTGAAAATGTGTCAAAATGTTATATCTTTATTGAATCATATGTTTATTGTTGCATCCTAAATTCTTTCTTCAGAAATCTCCATTAGTTTAGACTTGAATATTCTTAAGTTAAATTGTCAAGTTTTCTCAGAAAGAATTCTGACTTCTGCATTTCATATTAACTTATACTTACCTTAAATTTAATGGAATCTCTACAATCTTAACAAATGCAAAATTTGACTAGTATAACCTACTCATAAAAAATTATAAATTAAATAATTGAAGTAAATTCAAAGAAGTTTCAAACTCCATTTTTCTATCTTTTATCAGAAACTGACAAAAACAACTTGCCTTACATTTTTTTTTTATTTGACTTGAAAATGAGATTCATGTTTATTTTTGATTAATTCTATCAATTCTATCATTTTTATTGTTTATAACTTAGTTTTATAAGCATCAAACATTAATAATAACAATAATCCTTATTTTATTTTGCTTAATTTATATGGACAAGTCTCAACTAAATATGTTTTTGATAATCTTTTGAAATTGCCTTTGCTTGTTTTAATATTATTAGGTAATTTATTGTACAATATTATTGCTTGTCCATAGGGATCTTTGTTTGTTGATGTTTTATCTACATACATCCTGTGTGTAACTCATGTTTATAAAAATTGTGGATTTTATGGTTGTAGGGAGAAATGATAGATCGAATTGAGTACAATGTGGAGCATGCAGTGGATTATGTAGAAACTGCTACGCAAGATACAAAGAAAGCTCTTAAGTATCAAAGCAAAGCCCGGCGGGTAAGTTAACTTTCCATCATAGGCCTCCTGTGGTCCCTGTGTGTGTTTCCTTCCTAATGATGGTTGTACCCATTGATGTTTTTCTGTTTGATTTAGCTTCTTGAATTTAATCCTCTTTTGCATACTTTTCTTTCTCTTACAAGTCTCTTTTATTCTGTGTGGCATCAAAAGGAGAACACTTGAAAAGTGTATAAACAATACACTATTTATTTAAGTAATACTTGAAGTGATGGTGAATTTTGTAAGTACTGTCTCCGAACTTGTTCTGAGGGTTCTAAACTGAAGAGCTCTAAGGAAAAGCTGTCCCTGGAAGGATAATTAACCTAATGTACAGTTAGAGGCACGAACTCTGAACTATGGATTTAATCGTCATAGAGTATGTATTTATTAGTGAATATTATGCAGTTATGCTGATATTAAATCTCAAAGCCCCAATTAAGTGCATTTTGATTTGCTAGAAAATATATTATTTAAAATTTGCTAGCAAATACCCACAGGACAAGGCTTTGAATCTACTCTGAACTCTATAGCCTTCTTATGCTTGTTTTGTGCAAATGTTTCTTCATTCTTATATCTCTGCCACATGAGTTCTATACTTTCTTTTAGGAACAAGGTTACTTGACAACAGCAGCTTGAGCGAATCGTTGTTGCCTCAGATTCCATCTGATATTATATTTCATCTGATTGGCTCAAGCAGATGTTGTCAACTCACTTTGTTCCTGAAATGAGGTATACATGTACTGCTTGTGTTTTTTAGCATGTTCTCATGAGCCCATTGCAAACATGACAATAGAAATTCAGAACTATGGCTTGCTTAATTCTATGCATTATGTAGTTAATAATTCTCTAATTATTACAATAAAAATTACCTAGTTGAGCAGTAGTCATTTGAATGACACGTGGATTTTGTGAGATCCAAACATTTTTAACTTGGGCATGCTAAACACTAATTCAGCATACATGGTATGACATTCACAAAAGATTTTGACATCTCAATTTAGTACATGCTTCATAATGCTTGCTTCAATTTATATCATCATAGCTGAAATTTCTTACACTTGTGAAGATATTTCTTTCAGCTGTTGGCTTTTTAACATGCAATTTCCTTTTCATTACTAACACCAAGGGTTGTGGGTCTCTTTGCAGAAGAAGATCATGATGGTGATCTGTCTGACAGTACTTGGTGTTATACTAGTCAGCATGATCGCCAGCTACCTTGGGTTCTGAAGAGGCAGCAAGTGAGTGCCTGGTGATTTTCTTCGTCACCAGTGTTTCCTTTACCTGTTCTGTTGCAGTAGCCAGAGCTTTTTCTCTGGTAGAATTCACAGGAACACTCACCTAACAACTCTTGTGTTCAATAGACCAACACATAAAAAACAATATTAGACTGTATACATGAAGTACTGTATATATGAAGTTTCACTTGGATTTTAAAGGGGGGGAAAAATTGTGTCTTTCTACAAGATCTTATTATTAAAATTACATGTGATATGAGAAAACTTAAATTCTATTTTACATAATATTGTAGGTAAAGTACCTTTATTTTTTCAAAATAGTATAACTTTTACTAATCGTTATTCAAAGTTCTTGTTTTTTTGGATATATAAAATTACTTTTCTAATGATGATATCAATTTTTCTCCCTTTGTGGAAAGAAAATATAATTCATATTGAATCGATGTTTAAAATTTTGCAAATATACATATTTAGTCTTTATTGAATTTCATATTTTCAATAAAAAGAACTTCAAACTAATTGCTTAGCAAAAGTTAAATTTTTCCTGATCAACATGTGAGCTAATGCTTTCAGAGATTCTTATATGGAAAACAATCGTACTTTCATTTATTCAAATATAATAACTGAATTCTAGATGATTTCTGAAAGATATGCCCAAACAAATGGAACAACAAAATGTAATTTAATGTATTCAATTAATTGTAATGGAGTTAAGAATTAAGGAGAATTGAGAGGTATCTTACCCCTTTGCTAGACTTAACTAAAAATTATAAGACTGAAGGTGTGGTAAGTTGATTACTACTTCATAAATTCGTATCTACAAATTTCAGGTCTGAATACCAAGAAACTCATCATGGAATAGTTGTTTGTTAAAGTTATTAAGTACTCTAATCCTTTATGTTCTTTTTAGAAATAAATTAAAAAGAGAAAATTTGCCTACTGAAAATTGTATTGACTCAGATTTCTTCTAGTGCAGTATATGGAATCTCGATATTTACAAAAGTAGTATCATGACTGTTACCTTCTTAATATTCAACAACAGTACTCCTAGCAACAAACAGTGCCACCTGGTATTTGGAACAGCTATGCTTTCCCTCATTTCTAAGAAATTCTTCAATCACTGAATACTTTCCTTAATTAACCTTTTCTCCTTTCTTTCAACTTCTCCTTAGCGCAACAAAACTGATGGAAACAACCACGCGTATGTATAACTAGCACTGGCATAGTGTTAAAATGGTATGCATATTTCCCATAGAATTATACCACCAAGGCATGGTTTTTGAATTGCAAATATGTTGGTATCTGATGATGTACTTTGGACAATCAAAGCAGGGAAAACACTGAACACTATAGTGTAGTTCTTTTTGACACTACAATGAATTCAGGGTCATTGATGAAATTATTTGTGTCTGCTGAAATAATCAGTTCAAAAAACACAACTTTTTTCTCCAGAAAAAAAGCGCTGACTTTACCTACTGACTCTCTGTCATCTGTGCTTTTGATGTAATATTTTATTTGTATGTGTATTTTATATGTTAGTTAAATGTATGAAGTGATATTCTTGTGTATGCTCCAGATTCTAAGTAATGCATTTTCACTGAATGCATTAGAATCAAGTTGTTTATCAAATTAAATTAGATACTTGTGAATGTACCTTTCTTGCTTTCTATATTATAAATGTCATATAAATCCAAGTCTTATAATTTTTTAACTGTTGCTCCATTTAAAATTGTGAGAAAAATGCAATAATTATCATTATTATCTTCTTTTATTTGTAACCTATGTGTACTATTCCTCTCCACATACCTGTAGTTCATAATCTACTCAGATAATGCACTCTCACAAACAAACCATTCTATGAAACCATCTCACTCTTTGGCCCATTGTTCCTGTTTTTCTTGCAGTCATGCATTTTGTTTATCGACTCCCTTACTCTGCCTTCTCTGAATAACTCAACAGTCTTTCTCTTCTGAAATGTCCAGATGATACTCTATATTGTTTCGTAGTTTGTCTCTTTTTTTAATCATACCATACTTGTGATGTGGACAGTATTTACACACATAGCTTACGCTTTGTGATCCAATATTTGCAAAGAATGTGTGTGTGTGATATCTTAATGGTTTCAGCCAAGATCTTGTAATCTAATTCATATTATAGATGTATGAAGGAGGTAATCAGACCACAATGAATAAGAAAAAAAGTAGTATTTAACACATTATACACTAATACAGTCTGTATTAGTGTATGTGTTAAATTTCAGAATTTTTTTGGTTCATTTTGGCCTGATTTCCTCCTTCATACGTCTTTAAAACGAGTGTATGTGTATGCGTGAGAGGCTATGTGCAACGTTGTTATGTACAAGTGGGCATAACGTGTGTCGTGGCTGGCTGTTGCAGATATGGCTGCTTCGATGCTGACTGTGGCCTGGTCTCCACAGCTGTGCAGCAGCTGCTGGCTTCAGCACTGTGCATGCGCACACTTTTCTCCACGTTCAGACTCGTTTTATGACCCCTTTTTAATTAGCAGTTAAGGAAAGCACATTTTAAGATGCCAGTTGCCTATATTTCCAAGTGCAGTGTGAGCCATGAGATGATGTTTTCGTGGAATTGATTTGCATGGCATGTGCACAACTATTTTTTATGTTTCTTGTCCTGGGAACTATTATTTTTTATTCTGATGTTGTCAAACTATCTATTCGAGTAAGTCCATAATTTTTACTGCTTTGCAGTGAAATTATGTAGGATGTTGATTCCAGAATTGTTACATTAAAGTAGCCTTCCTTCCCCGTCATTCCTGTTCCATTCTTATCCCTTTCCCCTATTACTAGAGAGGTATATGTGCTTTAGACTGAATATGTAGATCCTTTTAACAACAAAAATAGCAAAAAAAGAGAATAATTAATATTAAGACACAAATGTAGGGAAATAAAGAAGAAGGAAATGGGAATTGTTGCAGTTTGCAGAGCTATTGTTACATAAAATACAATTATCCAATGCAATAACTTACAATTAGAATGTTAATGTGATTTTTGCCTCTAAAATTTTTGTGTCATCTTTAATCGAAGAAATCAGGTATTCCGAAAAAAAAAACAGTTGTATGCATGTCTCTTGACAGTTGTGCATTCACTTAAGAAAGCTACAGCCTATCTGAGAAAATATTTCTGCATGGAGATTTGAAAGAGAATGATACATTCAGTGCTTTTTCACTCAACATACATTGTTCATCTTAAACGCTACATGTGTCACATTGTTCCATCATTATTCTAGAAAGTGTGCATGTGAGGGGCATGCAGTTGTAATGTTTACAAGGCAATGTGGAATCCACAAGCTCTTTTGCAAATATCTTGATATTGTTAGTGGTAGTCTTCAAATTTTATATTCTGAGTAGTATATTAATATATATTTGCTCACTGTGCAGTGTGCAGTTGTTCATAGAAGGCATGGACACTGCATAAATAGCATGCCAAACTTTTGTTGTTTAATTGTATGGGTAATAAATGAGAGTATGTGACCGGTGACTTGAGATGCGAAGGTTAGGGGACAGCACTGAGCTATGGGTCCTCACTCTGCTCGGTTATTTCTGTGTGTTCATAAAAATATTAACATTTCCTATAATTTATAACCTGTTCATATCAAAAAGACAATTTAAAAAAATTATTGATATTAGATATGAAATATATAAAAAATTCAAATGTATGCCCACATTAAATACTACAAGGAAAGATTGCAGTGAATTTGTTGGGTGGTTTGGGGAATACTCTGTGGGTATATACTGTTTGCTTCTTTGAGAGAAAAAAAAGAAAAGAAAAAGGATTTTCATCAAGTGATCAAAACTCCAAAATACTCGCAACTAGTGCTTGAATCAGTGTCAAGCCTATATGCAAGCAGCTGACTTGCAGAAGGCCCATAGCTCACATGTAATCCTAGTTGCATCAAGTGCCGGTCCTGTTTAAATATTAGAAAGAGTGGGCCAAAGGAGAGTAGCTAACTTTTCAGGGGTCTCAGATCCCCAGTTGAGAATCACTGCCTTAGCTTGTCCAGCAGGTCGTGAGCAGCAGACAGTTGTCCTGAGCTTGCCCGAGGCAGCTTCTTTAGACTTCCACATTTTACCTTACTTGACAGCAGTTAACACAAGATCTACACATAAATGGTTACAGGCAGCCAAACTGTGTCATGGCTATGTTGGCAAGTAATTCTACAAGAAGAAAGAAGTCTGAGGAAACATCAAGATTAACCTTATGAAGGAAGATGGAGGGCTTTATCGTTATTCTAATTTAATTAGTATTATAAGTTGTAAAATTGAAGTATATTTACAGACAATAAATGGAATGGAATGTATGTAGTAATTATAAATAACAGAATAATTCAAATTGTTTATGAGGCACAATTATGTGCATTCATTATCTAAGTGATCTTTTGTAATGAGTTGTTTTAGAAGGTGCTATATTTTACCTCTTTTACTATGAGGATACAACATCTCACTTGTAGACTCTAGTTCCATCTCTCTAGTTAATTTGATGGACTGTTTCTCGACAACTAGTAAGATGATATTGAATTGTAACATAAGCTGTGTCAGCTAGCATATCATTTTTGGTGTATATCAGTAAACTTCCAGTAAGTTCAACTATTTGAAATAAAGGGATTAGAATATTATATGGCTAAAGTATCTTGTGTCTGTGTACTTCTTCAGGATATGGGTCATTTAAAGTGATGAGGCCTAGTAAATATACACCAAATGAAAAATACTTAAAGTGAGAGTAGTAAGACTACATGTGGGTGTAGTTTATGTTGACTATTCCACTTGTGACATTAAAACCAATAGTGTTAAACTTAACATACACAGTGCCCCAAATCAGGACGCTGTATCTCAAAAAGTTTATCGCTTTTTCTATCTGATTTTTCTTTCCACTTCTACCTACTGGCCAATTATAAACTGTGACTTATCTATCTTAGGAAGCAGTATACATCGATCGCTATGTCAATGTCCAATTAACAGCATATGTAGTATAAGGTTACCTCTGATTTTTAAATACACTTTCAGTTATTTTCAATATTTGGCGCATTTTGGAACTCTGTTGGACATAATTTCACTTGTGGAATAGTCCTATGAAATACCACTCGTGCTTTGGGCATTCTCAGATAGATCCCCTCCTCACTTCATGTGCCGGGAATTCATCGACAATTTCCAAAGCACTCGTGGTATTACCTATGATAATTTTTGATTATTTGTACGATGAGCTGTTTGCACAGTTAAGGGCCTAAATGGATTTCTATTCTCAATTGAATCTAGTGTAAGTGTGTAGTTTACATGGTCCTGAAAAAAAAATAGTGAGTTATTATTTTTCTTCGAACATATATCACACAAATATTTGTATTTCTCGATATTTTAATACAATTAGCGTGGTTTGTTTATAAATACTATGTTATATTTTTTCTGTCAAGCACACTAAAAGCAATGCATATGTAGCATCCTGTTGATCAATGCAAGTGTAGAGGGATACTTGATACTTTAACATGGACGTGATAGCTGTGTTAGTGTATGTAATTGTGTGTGTGTAGTTCAAGCGACATGATCTTTCTACATCTGTTCTTAGTATTACGTCTTCAGATTGACAATTGGGAACATGCTACATGTATACTGGAGTATAATTCTTATACTCCTGTTTATAGACCACTGAGCAATATACGTTGAATATTACGTAAGGACATATTGTTATTAATTTCCAATTCTCTTCCTAATTTTCCATTCCCTCTGATCTAAACGAGAATAACTGAATTTTCTTAGTGAAAAAATTGAAAATAAAATTATAAAAAGTTAAATAATGCAACCAGGATACTGATAGGCAGGATTTTTATGGTGCAGTAATGAATTAATTTTCCTCTGAATAAATTTCGTTATGTAGTACTATTTAAAAGACGCGGGGGAAGGTGATTCGTTCTAAAATGTAAACTCGGAACCGAAAGATTCGATTCACTTTAAAGCAAATTTTGGCGCCATCGTGAGCGTAGGTGGAAGGAAAGGAAAGCTGACTGTCAACAGTCATTAATAGCAATCAACAGTCAATCGAGAGTTGTGGTGAACAGTTTGATACCGGTTTCTCCGATGGTAAGATATTATTTTACATATTTTAATTGTGTACAAAGTGTATTGCAACTGACGATGCTGTTTTGCACCAGTGTGTTTGTACTTATGGAATTCGGGTTGTCACTTTTGTATACGACGTTTATTTTTAATCAAGAACATGATATACTCGAAAATTTCAACAGTAAGGGGCCAAGTGATTAGCTTCGAAACGTATTTATTGACCTAATCTAATTCTCAGTAAAACCAGCTATTCCTGGGGCCATAATCGTGCATTCTGGGTGAACTAAATAAGAAACAAACATTGATTGATATCTGTATTTAATAGATTCAATGTAGTTAATCTGTCTCATTTAGTTCTGTTACAATGTTTTTAATTGTAATTTTCGTACAATGCTCGTAGTATGAGAAGCTGCTTCCTTTACTTCAATATAAGTTAATTTTTATTGTTTATCCAACTTTTTTAAGAATATAGTTACTTATGCCATGGCTGATTTGCTTTATCTACCTCTCGTGTGTAGGGAGAATATTAACAACGAATCGAACCAAAAGTCTTCAGAGCTCATTTTTTAAAATTTGAGTAGTATAGTAATAGTAGTGTGAACTATATGCAAATTCCTTCAGTTTCTGGCAGTGATTCACTATCTCCATAAAAAACTGAAGCAGTAAGAATTGAAGTGTGGAACGGATTGGAACTGAGCAATACTGATGAGTTTTGAATGCCAGAAAGATCCTTGTAATCTAAATGATAATGATATTGTCTTTAACATTAATTATTTGTTTTGCAGACTTCCATTAACCCCACTGTCTGCTAACATATGTGCAGACTTGATTTCTCTGTGGAAATTATTTTAAAAAAATTGTTGGAGAAAATAATTAGTTATTTATTAAAATTATGTCCATTTCAATTGGTGTAAATAAAAATAGCAGGTTTCAAAGTATCAGACAAATAGGTATTAGAATTATAGTATTTTATTCCTGACATATCATTTAGCAATTGGGGCAAAGAAAAATTTTTATGATGAAAACTACATTAGTCTTGCACTGAACCAGACTATTACTGCAAATTACTGACTGAAATCCTTAGAAACCTCATGGGATAGTGGAAAATATATCGTAACTTTTGCATTACATTCATTACATTCTTTGATATTATTAATAGTTTCTTATTAGGACATTTTTCGTAGAGAAAATATAAACATTCATGTGATACCAGTAAAAAATGAAATGTCATTGAATACATTTCTAGATTCTCTTGGGAGTTTTCTGAATGTTTTCATAATATAAATGAAATGTTCCCTTTTTCTCATTTAATAAATCGTAGAAATTCCCCCCTTGCATGCAGTGCACTACATCCAAAATTTAATCCATAACCAGATATTGTGTAGTTTTCTTTTCTCCAAATTATGCAAGCAAGGCCAATTACACTTGAAATATTTAAAACTTAAGAAAATGTGGATGAAAGTGACATGATTTATGGAACCAATTTGTGTTGTTTATGACTAGCTATTACTTTGCAGAATTGTGTGTAAATTCATACATTCTTTCTAAATGCTTGAAGATAACTTTGTTTTGTTATATAGTTTTTATGTCATTTATTAAGTTTACAATTACCATTTATTTTCACTCTTCAAATTATTTCCACTTTATATTTGGTGTAAGTAATGAGGGATAAAAACAAAATATTTATATAATTAGAAGAAAATGCAGTTTTATTTGGTACTCCTAGAAATCAAAATTGGTGTTATTTGAATTTCTCTCGTTTGGAACAGAAATTTTGAAGTTTTCTGTATTGAATAATGAGGTTTACTGAATGTAATGTAAACTTGTGAAATTATTTTTTTTCCTGGAATCTTTTTTGTAACATTTTTTTGTTGTTTAATGCTTTAAATTTCTTATTATTATGTAACTGAAATGAATTGAAATATTTTTGACATTATTATATGTTTTCATGATGGAGGAGTACATTATATTTTATACATTATTGATTTTATTATTTTCACTGAATTGTAAAAATATTAGCTGGTGGTAATATATTATCCATTTAAAATTAATATGTTCTTATTAATATTCCCATTCTTAGGGTGTGAAGAGGTGTAGCAGTTTCAATATTGATTTCTTAAATGCTTCACTTAAAAAAGTGCATAGCTGATTTTTCACAGTGAACTGGTACCATTCAAGAAAATGTTTTGTGTGCTGAAAATGCATTACATTTGTGTGTATGTATAAAGTTAAATTACCTACAGATGTGACATTGAGAATGCTTCTGTGGTGTTCATAAGTTTTGTTTGAAGACAGATAACAATATATTTCATTCTGTAAAAACTGTTAAATGAAAACATAACTCTTTAGGTTACTTTTATGGTACAATTACATATACTGTCAACACATAGTTTATGCTGATCACATTTGGAGAATTCTTGCGTAACTGCTGTGAAGTTCATGGCGCTCTAGGAATGTACTAGTTGTTTTCGTGTTTAAGCAGTGGATATCCACGTGTCCATGCTATTAGTGTTTTATTATAGAAGTTTGATTTTTTATTAAATATTTGAGTATTGATAATATGTGGTATGGACGGATTCATAGAAGAAAGAAAGAAAGAAAGAAAGAAAGAAAGTGATTCTTCACTTCTCCAGTATTACCTAGAAGAACAGTACAAAAATACTGACTTTTGTTGGAGATAAGATTGATTTATTTGCATGAAGTAACATTTTAATGAATGATCCTCAGCCAGTGAATATTTTTTAAATCAAGATTATTGGTATGTATTCTGTCGCCTATAGTTCCATGCAAGATTACGCATATTTCGAAAAATTGTACACGCTATTATTTCAAATTCTGTCTTTTAAGGAACAGATTTCATTGAGGGCAAAATCTCAACTTAATCATTGTAGTTGTAGAAAGACGCAGAACAAATTATAATTTTAGTAATTTTCTAAAAATCAGAGTTTTTAACGGAAACGAGATGTGCCCTATTCTCTTAATTGTCATTTACACTATCCAACAACAAACTATTTTCAATGATGGAACCATTTTTTTTTTCTTTTTTAAAAATTTTGAAAATGGCTAAGGGGTCGTGTAAAGTACCCCCCAAAATTAAAATATCGGTTTTAATTCAAGGGGCTGCGATCGATTGGAGAATATGAATTTTCGAGAAAACAGGCTGAACGATTTAGCTGCTAGCGTTGTTCACCGATGGACAGCCTTTTTGCGGTCAATCGATTTTACTTTCTCGCAGTTACTAACGTAAGAAGAGAAAGTATTGTAATACGTATTGTAAACGGCGAATTTTCCCCACAAAAACACTTATTGCCGGGCCCTGGCAAGGAAAAAGTGGAGAAATCCAGTTGCTAAATATAGAAAAATTCCTCTGACACGCGGTATAGCCATGTTTTGTGGGTCCTTGATTCGGAAGGCGTCTGAAGGACGTTTATGCCTGTCTGTCCGTTAGTGCATAACGCTAACGCGGGTGATCTGGGCTGTCCGCGGCGTCACCCGGACAGCCCAGATCACCCACATGACTCTGGCCGCGGAAGCTTACGACTTCATTTAACAACGCTAACGCATAAACCAGCCGATATTCTCCAAATGTGATATTCCCCCAATTTTTTCAGCTGATTTCGCCGACCCTAGAATTTGAAACAGAAAATTGTAATTCTATGGGAGACGTTACGTGAAGCATTTTCAAAAGAATGGCTCCAAATTGTTTGATAAAATGTTGAATAATGCAAAAGACATTTCAGAGAATGGTGCAGGTCTCATTTTCGTTTACACCCCTGATTTTTCAAAAATTGGAAGAAAATAGGGAAATTCAGAATTGGAGATAAACATTTTTGTCTCAGACAGTCTGTTGTAAAAACATTAGCTCTTCAAAAAAGGACATATGTAACGTTTTGAAAAAAAGTAGATATTGCGTGTTTTGCGATTGAAATTTTCAAAAATTTCAGAAACCGCTCAAAATTTTTCCCCTAAATTTTCTTCACTAGTGGCGATAAAAAATGGTGGTAGTTATATTTTTGGGTATTGCTCAGTTTTTTGAAAATTCAAAATACAATTTAAAATAACAAAATTGAAGATAGTCTGTTGTACAAACTTAGCTCTTTAAAAATGTCATGTACACTTTAAAAATTTCAAGTAGTTTTTATGTATTTTGTGATTGAAATTTACAACAACAAAATCTCAAAATCCGCTCCAATTTTTTTCTTTTTATTTTCTCTACATATGTAATAAAGAAGGTAAGAAATATAGCTCTTGCCTTATTTTCGGTTATAGCTCGTTTTTGTTTTTCGAAAATTGCAACAACAAAAAATAGTCCAAATGTACAAAATTGAAGATAGAGATATTTGTTTCAGAGAAAGCCTGTTATATTAGCTCTTTTAAAAAGGTCATGTACAATTCTTTGAAGAAAAAAAACTAGTAGATTTTGCGATATTTATGGTTAAAATTAATGAAATATAAATATACAGGTTTCACACCAACTACGGGCCACGACAATAATTTAATGAATAACATGAAAAAAAAATTAATTATAATTTCCTACTGAAAACTGTTAATAAGGGGCAAGAAAGTATGTGCTGTTTCACCACCACTAGTTTACTTTCCTTTATACATACGTACATACGGAATAAAATACGTAGTTTAGGGAAAGTTATGTAATGCTGCTGGAAGAGCGGTGGATTTTCGGCAAAAAAAAAAAAAAATCATTGCCAGACCCTGATTACGAAAAAGTAGATAAAGCCAAGTGCTAAATTAGGAGGAAAAGCCCTCTATCACGTGGTCTAGCCAAAATCCCTGTTTTGTCCTTGATACCGAAAAATCAATTGACGGCAAAATGTCCTTCTGTCCGTCCGTGAAAACTACCAGAGTTTAAACATGTGTAGTTTTTTTACATATTGAAAAAACCCTTGTCCATATGGCTCGAGTCGAAGCTTAGAGAATTTGAAAGACGTTTAAAATTTGGGGGGTACTTTACATAAAGTCCTCCGGACATTTTCAAAATTTTCTCAAAAAGGGTCCAAATTTTTCTTTAAATTTCATATAGGAATAAAGTAACGTACACTTTTAAAAGTTACATAACGCAGCATGTAAGCAATGTTTTAATGCAGCATTACATAACTTTCCCTAAACTACGTATTTTATTCCGTATGTACGTATGTATACAGGAAAGTAAACTAGTGGTGGTGAAATAGCACATACTTTCTTGCCCCTTATTAACAGTTTTCAGTAGGAAATGATAATTAAAATTAAGTTTTTTCATGTAATTCATTGAATTATTGTCGTGCCCCGTAGTTGGTGTGAAACCTGTATATTTATATTTCATTAATTTTAACCATAAATAACGCAAAAACTACTAGTTTTTTTTCTTCATAGGTCCGATTTTCGCGGTTAACTCGTAAATCTTCAAAAATTTCAAAAATATGAATTTTTTCGGCGCCGTCTTAGAACTACAAAATTGAAGATGGAGCTTTTCCTATCAAATTAAATTCGTTATCCATAATTAGTTCTTTCTTTAATATCATGTATATTTTTTTCAAAATTTTAGTAGTTATCGCGCAATATTGCGCGTAATATTTTCAATTTAAAAAAAATTACGTACAAAAACAAGATTTTTTCAAAAACAGCTGTAAATTTTTTCTTCAAACTTTTGCTAGGGATTGTGCTAAATGTACTCGAAGCGCTGACATCAACGCCATTCTTTTGCTTTTTAAAAATTACAAAAATGTAATTTTTTGTCGTGTCTCTCACTGCGTTAATATTTATATTAGCGGCGATTTGTTCTCATTATATTTATGAGTACATGTGCTTTGAATAATGCCAAAAACTCTACAATTTTCCGTGAAAACCAGCTCAAAATTTCGCATTTTCAGAAACGTTCAAACACCATTTTCTCAATAACGGCACCGAATTTTCTCTTTAAACTTTTCGAAGGGATAGTGCTAATTTCACTGTTTAATATAACGTAAAGTGCTTTTGGGGTTTTTTTTTTTTTGAAAATAATACATGTAATTTATTTGAATGATCTCTGACGCCGTTAATATGCACATTCCCAGCGATTTGTAAACACTATTGTATTTGTGATTTAATGCGCGTTAAATGACCTCTAATAATTTTTTTGAAAACTCAAAAATTTGCTGAGAATATGCTTCAAATTTTGAATTTATAGTATCGCTTAAATTCAATTTCATAGAAATGCTCCAAATTTTTCAAAGAAAATTGCCATTTATGACGAAGTTTTACTGTTCTTTAATATTCCTGAGATAATATTTCCGTTTTAGTATTGCGAAACC